TGTGACCTGCAAGTGTAAGTCAAAATCACCACAGTGGAACAGCTTTGTTCCAGGCAATCACACTGGCAGCTCTGGGACAGCAGGTGCCAGACTCATGCTCTGAGGGACCAGGGGCACACTGCCTGGCTCTCATTTTCTGTTCTCCAAGTATAACGTAAGAATCCCCCATGGATTTCTGGCAAGGAGCTGAAAAATTGCTGTCAGTACATGCCATGTGTCAGATGACAACCAAGAGCAAGTTTCAGAGGCCCTGTTCATTGCTCCTCCAAAAACCAGTTATGAGAGGAAAGCCTGCCAGGCGCTTCTTGCTGCTTCCTTGCCACCATTCCACGGAGAAAAGTCACTGGCAGAACCCTGGCAGAAGCATGGATGAAAAGCATGGGTCCCCAGATTTCTCACCTTTAAGGAATAGCTGGTGGACCTGAAAAGACTGGACTTATGCCCAGGTGGCCCTTGGTCAAGCCCCATCTTCAGGGGAATTCTAAGCCCAGACATTGAAATGAATATGACACATGTCACTCTGAACATTGGCAGGCCAACGAAGAGAGAGACCCACTCACTTGTTTACCTCTATACTAGAGACGGCAGTGCTGTTCATGATGCAGATGAGGTTGGTTCATTTAGCTATGGTGCCCTCCTGTCTTGTAGACAGAGGTTCACAGCCTGCCAGGTGTGGCCAGGTGCACCAGGAGCTGCAAGGGAGACGAGAGAAGATGGAAAACCATGGCATGAGAAGGACAGAGAGTCCCAACTACTGTACATAAGCCAGCCCACACCTTCCTGAGGCCATGACTCTTAACAGATTCATCCTGAAGGAAGAGGGGGAAACAGGCACAGGAAGAATTGCCCAGGAGGAGAGTCACAGGGTCTTCAGAAAGAGGGGACAGCAGAGGGCCTGCACAGTTGACACCACATTATAGGGCATTCTCATGTTCATGGCTAAACAAGACCTGCACTCAGAGAGGTTGAAAGACCTCTGTGTGAGACCTGACACGCAAGGATCCCTCAGTACTTGTCAGTACATCAGTAGTCCATTCGTTCCTAGGACTACTACTAGTTTAGGGCTAGGACAGAGGGAACCTGGAGAAGGAGGTGAGAAAGTTTCATGGAAGGGGGTGAGAAAGCTTCATGGGACCTTCCCATCTTCCTCACCTGATCTTCCTTTTCAAGTCTAGACACCCTCCTTTATGACATAAACATCATCTAGCTTAGCAGCAACAGCTACAACTACCACAGGACAAAATCCGGTAGTCCCAGAGCATTGTCCCTCACACATGAGTCAGGACTTTTGTTTTCAGGCTGCCCTTCACAGCCACAGGCAAGGAAGGACCTAGGGTGTCATCAAGGATGCCTCAGGATGCTTCACTGCTTTGCTGAGGGTCAGACTCATAGCTGGTGACATCTACAAAGAGCACAGTGACAGCAGTCAGATCAGAGGAGACTTGGGGTGCCCATCCCATCTGCCCCACTCAGTGTCTTCCATGCTGGAGCCTGTCACATGGCTGCTCTCATGGCCCTCTGTCTCACGTCTTCTTTCCTCCCAGGCTGTACTCAGCACTGCTTTCAAGGGGACCATCTCCTCCAACTCCCTGTACTACCATTCATCCTCTCAGGTCCATTACTTTGTTGAAATATTTTCAAGTGGACTTACCTCACTGCCTTTGTCTTCTGGGTTATCCTAAACTCTTGCCAGTGTGCCAGCTCCTTGTGGGCAGCTTGACCATCAGACTAACAATCCTGGGATCCAGCTCCTACTGAGGGCTGGGCACATGGTGGTTACTGAATGTCAACTGACAGAAGAACCGCTCATATCATTGCACAAAGGCATCCCAGAAACTGGGGTCAGACTTCTGACCCATCCCAGAAACTGGGGTCAGACCTCTGACCCAATCTTCACCCTTACTCCTTGTAGGTAAAAATGGAGTCTGGCCAGGAGAGGGATGAACTCCTACCATGATGCTACAGGAGGACTGGCGCAGACACAGCCCAGGAAGTGAGAAACAGGCTGCATGGCTAGAAGGGACAGCCCAGCTCTGTATACTTTCCACAGCTTGGACAATGTCTCAAGGAAATTCAGTGACAGTGGTCACAGGGCCACCACTGACAAATATGGTAAGGGCCTCCTCCAGGCTCTTCAGGTTTAGAAGGACAGAGAGTCAAAGCTGAAGAGATTCAGGGAAGAAGCTGTTGCCTTCTAAGTGACAGAGTGGACACTATGAGGACACCAGTGTAGAAAGTAGGTCTGAAGAGGGGAATCACTTGTTTCACTATTTAGTTCCCAGGTACAGTTTGGCCTCACAACATCTTTCCATCCAACCTCACAGTATCTTAGTCCTTGTCTTAGTGTCAACATAGTGACAGTAACCCCCATAAGAGCATATTGGGGTGTATTTATATTGAGAGAAGTAAATCAGCCTTCTCAACAGGACCATGTGTTGGCACAAGGTCTTCTTCATTAGATGGTGACAGTGCCCCAGCTCAAATAGGACCTTTCAGAGACTGTGCACATCCTAAATGCCCAGACAGACTTGCAAGAATACAGAGGTCCAGGCTGCTGTCCCAACTTGCCTTCCCATGATAAGGAGCAGGGATCTCCTGTCACCCTTGGAAAGAATCCTCTGGGTGATTAGAGGTAGAATTCATGGAGGAAGGGAGAGAAAAAAGGGCCAGCATTACTGTCCCATGACAAGAGTATCATTTTGGTCTTGGGATGTAGGACTTGAAGACTACCTCTTAGTACTTCTTTCCTTTTTATCAGATGCTTTGGATGGCTATCACAATACTCTCTCTTCTTGAGAATGGAGTTAGTTCCCTGTAGAGAATCCTGTGTCACTGCAATCACATTGCCTTCTTGGCTTGACTTGTGTCCCATCGACTTGGCACGCATGACATAAGATGTATCCAGAATTTCACCTGCACATGCTGCTGTCCAGACCTGGCCAATACCCCACACTTTGCTATCAGGAAATATGTCAGAGTCAGCGCCTCTGTCTATCTGAACTGCAGGGAAGTGGCTCTGTAGAGCTTTGACCATAGTCTCTCTGCCAGGTACCAGATTATCACATTAGATTCCATCAGGACATTTGTTTCAGAGACCCAAGTCAGAGACCCATGAATTGGGAATATAATGCCAAAGAAATGCAGGAACAAAGGCCATATGGCTGCACTTTGACCAATCAAGGGAGTTCTTCCAGGCTCCTCAGATGTTGAAGACTAGGGGTTGGGAAACTGATGAATGTTTAGTAAGCAACCACATGAGGGCATGGTCCTGGGATGCCGCTGTGGAGAGTATTGTGATACAGCAAACATCTCCCCTCCAGATTGGGAATGCAGGTACACAGCCACTGGGTATCCAGCTTGGCCTCCCCCCTGGTGGCCTCCACATTGTGATGTCAGCCTTTACAGGGCTCAGGACACTCTGACTGTCCAGTTCAACTGTAGGAAGTCATTAAAGTGGCTTCTTTGTGCTTTGATCTTAGTCACCCTGCCAGGCACTGCTCCCTCAAACATTCTTCCTATCTTGTCATTTGTTCCCTATGGACAACGACTCTTGTACCAACTTTCCTCTGAGAAGTTGTTAGCAGCACCCTAGCTGAGGCACAGATTTCTCTTTTCAGGCGCACTGGTTACTATATGAGAAGACTGGACCTCTGCCCAGGTGGCCCTTGGTGGAGTCCCATATTCAGAAAAATTCTAAGTGTAGGCAGTGAAATGAATGTCGTATCACTCTGAGCAGGGCCAGGCAGTGAAGAGAGGCCCACACCCCTCTTTACCTCCATACTAGAGATGGTAGTGACAATGGAGTTGAGGGTGTTTGACTTAGAGATGGCGACATTCTGTCCTCTAGACAGACACTCCATGGCCTGCCAAGGTTTCTTCATGCACTGGGAGTTGCAAGGGGTAAGTGAGGGTATGGAAAACCATGGGATGAGTAAGATGAGTTTCAACTACCTTTAATATAAGCCAGACCATACCTTCCTGAGGCCCAGACATTGAACAGATTCTTGCCCAGGACAAGAGTCACAAAGTACAAAGTGGTCAGAAATAGGAGACAGCAGAGAGACTGCACAGATGGCACAACATTATAGATCATTCCCATGTTCATGACTAAACAAATCCCCCCTCTACTAAGATGGGACTGGGGAATAAATACTGTGCCCTTCCAACACTGTATCATCTTCACTGATAAGAGAAATGGCTGGGGTAGAAACAGATGCCCAGTCTGGTGCAGGCTCTAGGTATCAGAGAGATCCAGCTACTCAATGCACTGTTTCTGTCAGGTTTCCTCCTTGACCACACCCAACATCCCCTATGGAAAAGGAGCTGTGCCTACAAGTTACACACAGCAGGGAGCACATTCAGGAAGTGGTGGGCAGCTCTGCAAACTGACACTGAGTGTGAGAATGTTCTGGAGGAAGGGTTCATTCCTCTGATGTTCAAAGATTGAAGAGTAGCAGGCCCACCCAGAGAGATCTGAAAGATCTCTGTATGAGACATGGCACACAAGGGTCCCTCAGTACCTGTTAGTATTACCTAGAACTACTGTTAGTTTAGGGCTGGGACAGAGGGAAACTGGAGAAGGAGATGAGAAAGCTTCATGGGACCTTCCATCTTCCTCACCTGATCTTCCATTTCAAATCCAGACACCATCCTTTCTGGTCATCTGTTCCCTGTGGACAACTGCTCCACACATACACCCCCATTCCCAACTGCCTCCTGCACCAGCTCTCTTCAGTCTTTTGCTGTCTACTTGTAGTTGAGCTGAAGCAGGATTTCTCCCACAGGAAAGTATGCTATGTAGCAGGATTTAATCCAGCTGTTGTAGAAATACAAGTTAATATGCCATAGGACCCCCATTACATACACATTTTTGTTTTATTTCCTAATTTTTTCCAGTGAAAAGACATAGCCAAAGACATAGACAAAATAAAACACAAAGCAATCACACACCCTCTCATACCTGCTTGCCCAATTCCTCATTGGACTCCTCCTGCCTCTTTTCAGGGAGCCACTCTGTTGAACATAGGTGGGGGTTGTGTCTCTGAACTCCTTGGCAAACAGCAACAGGACAGGCAAGTCCTGATTCTCCTGTGCAGTCTCTTGAAGCACCCAGTGTTCTGAGGGGGAGATATTGCTTCCATGTCAAAGTCCAGCTTAGGTGGCAGGGACATTATCTCTTCCGGTATACTGCTGCTGATACATGGGTGAGCCCCAGGTTTGTATAGGGGGGCACAGCTACAAGGAGGGATCTTCCTCTGGGGACAACATTGAGGCAGGGAGGCACTTCTGGCCAATTTCCGCTCTAATAGTGTCAGGATATCAGGCTGGTTCTGCTGTAAAGGCTGACTGGGTAGGAAGCCAAAGATGGGTTCACTGGCTCTTCGTTTTAGGCAAGGTACTGGTGTTGGGGGAGGCGTAGGGTCAGTGTATTCAGGCTTGGGTAAGGTGGTGCAGTCAAGCCACACCCCCTTGCGTACCTGTTCTTCAATGATAAGATACGTCCCCATCATTTCATCATATTTTCTCTTTTGCAGAGACTCCAAGATGTCATTGATGTTAAACCCAAGATCAATCAAGATGTCTAGTACTTTGGGATCTGGATAGGTGTTACCTGGGATGTTTTCTTCACATTTTATCACCCATGGATGTTGTTCAACGTCTTCAATGGAGGGCCTCTTCTCTGGGGCAATCGTGAGCAGTTGATGAATAAGGTTTTCAAGTTGTGCAGAGACGTGAGCTGGGACAAAATAGCTCCCTTGGATGATATTCCCCTCGGTCTCTTTCAGGGTGCTTCCTTTGAAGGGGTGGTACCCAATGGTGATGAAATAGAGCACCACGCCCAGACTCCACACATCTGCCTTCTTCCCGTCGTAGCCTTCTCTTAGTACCAGTTCCGGAGCGTTGAAGATGTTAGTGCCGCATCTTCCTTGCAGCACAGTTCCGGCTCGACATCTTCTGGCAAGACCGAAGTCGGCCACCTTCACATTCCCCTCTGCGTCAATTAGGATGTTCTGAGGCTTTAGGTCTCTGTGTACGATATCAATTTGATGGCAATACCTGATGGCTGAAACCAGCTGACCAAATAGTTTTTGTGCCCTTACCTCCTGCAGCCTGCCACCTTTCTTTATTAGCTGGAACAAGTTTCCTCCCGGAGCATATTCAGTGACAAAATAACAATGTTTCTGGGTTGTTATAATCTGAAACAGACGAATGATGTTCGGATGTTGCAATGATTGCAATGTCGCCATCTCTGCTGTGATGATTCGAATGTGTTTCTTTATATTCTCTATAGACTTTATAGCCACCTGGGCGCCTGTGAAGCGATGCTGAGCTAGTTTTACATACCCAAATGCACCGTGGCCAATGTTACATTTAATTTTGTATTGCCTTTTCAGGCTATCATTTCGGAGGAGGCAGGCCATGAGGCCAGGTGGTCACGGCACTCGAACAGGTGTTGGTGTCCTCAACCCAACTCAACTTCTCAGTACTCAGAGTCCCACAGGTCGACTGAAAGCAGCTACCTGGTCTGTAGGGACAGACTGCAGTCAAGCCCAGGGCCTTATATACAGGACACTCATTCTTCCCTCACAGTGGCTCTTTGTGAGGTCAGAACAAGAAAAGAACCAATCACAGCAGGCTACAGCCTACATGGCTGTACATTGGGCCACAGCCACCTACCCCTTCTTAGGAAAATGCAGCTAGTCTCCACCAGCTTCTACTTTGGTGGATCAAGGAGACAGATATATATTTACTGGTTTGAAAATTACACCCAGCACTGTGCTTCAGCGGCCTTTGTAGCTGGACCCTGAGTACCTCAAACCGTTTCTGGACTTTGGAGGATGATGTACATTTTGAACAGGTGTCCTGCACAGAGGCAAAGTTATCAGGGGGTTTTTGTGAAAGCCATGTTTACAGTCTTCTGTTCTTGGGACCAGGGGGAGTAAAGGCAGAAAGATCCATGCCATGGGGGAGCTCTTGGCCTCTCTCTAGCCTAAACCTGTTAGTTCTGGTCCTGGTCTAGGGGCTTGCTTTCAGAGTGGATTAAAGGGCCACTTGAAGTGTGAATGTACAGAAAGTAGGAGGAGGTCCCTGGGGACTTCTGGGCATGGGGCTAATCTCCTCCTGAGAAGGCGATGATGGCTGGGGAGTCGGGAGCTCTATGCTCTGTCATTCATGCCTGTTCACCTCAAGAAGTCCTGGGAAACCACTGTGTCCACTACACTCTGTATTATAGATAGGAGATCTGGGATTTCTCCCTTGTGATCCAGGGTGCTGATTTCTCTCATCAGCAGTGTCAGGGACTATTGGGACAGCACCTAGAGCATAGACCAGCCTCTGGTGTGCTTCTGGAACCATCTCTAGTCATGCCTACCTCATGGTTCCTGAGATTCACACCATAAAAGGGACAGGATGTGGTCCCTGAGCCAGAGATGAAGCTCTCATTGCCTTTGAGACAAAGCCGCTTATGAGGCCTGGTGAGAACAGAGACTGAGGTGAAATGGCCATTCTGTCCTGACTGTCTTCCTGGTCCTGCTCATGCTTTCCAGCATAAACCACACCTCCTCCACCTGAAACAATGGATGGGGTGCTTTGTGGATTCTGCATGGGCAGTGGGACCACCATTCTGGAGCTTGCTAGCCCACAACATGGCCAAAACATCTTGGGAAGGAAAGGGTTTGATGAACTTGTGTATCCCAGTCAAAGCCCATGGCCCAGGAAAGCCAGAGTAAGAATTCAAGCAGGAGCAGAGGCCAAAGAACCTAACCCTTTGAGACCACACACTTTCTCACTGATTTTCCCTTCCTACCTCTCCTTGTACTGACCCAGAGGTAAGTGTGCTGAAGGCCATATCTTAGCTCCCCATTTGAGGAGGGGAAAAGAAGTGCTCACACCTGGAGATGAATTCCTCCCCTCCCCTGGTCTACTGTGTGCTCATCTGCACTGTGCAGGAGGGTCCCACAGACACTAATGCCCTAAACAGGGAGGCAGCAGCAGGCCCACTGTGTGAGATCATCTTCACTGTGCTAGAAGTTCGTTCACACAGGTTTCTTGGCTGTGAAGAAATATTCCTTGCTCTGCAGTTCTTGGCCCCAACCCACCTCCTTTTGAACCCTGAAAATATGTTCTACCACCTCAATCATTCTGTCTCATTGCTCAGACCACCAGGGCAGTGGACAGCCCACAATCTATTTGGCTGGCCCCATCTGGCAAGATCACCCTTCCTTTACTAAATAAAGGGCTGAGGCCCACAAGTATCATTCTTTATTGTTGTGTGTCACTGTTTAATCAGTTCTAATAAAGGTAAGCCAAGTGCCCTAGTGATGGCGTAGGTAAGGTAGACATGTGAGTTGTTGAAGTGCCCATAGCTCCAGGACATGAAAAGGGGTCAGGAAAGATGAGGGACACTTGTCCAGCCACCTCGTCCTCTGTGGACAAACAGAACTTTTAGAGGATCACTTGCCCAGAGACCTCTTAGGGTTGTTCCTGCTGCAGTGAATAAGGAAGGCCCTGTTCTGCCTAGGGATTGCTGATCCACAATTAACATCGTGTCTTTGTTAGCCAGATTGTACAACAGCATAATACATTCAAATATTTGGACAATAGTGGTCATGGTTGCCAGAGAAGCTTCTTAAATCCATTTTGCTTTCTTTGAATTGAGCCAGGGAAAATAAGACCTGTATGTGTATTGGGGTGCCTAGGGCCCCAGTACCAATCTAAGGGAAAATATCCCACTTTAAAGAGTCAAGATCCCCAAAAGATTAGTTTGGGGGGTGCTCCTTTAGGAATTTCAGGATAGAGAGGGGACTTAGCTATCAAAATTGGGGAAGAACTCTTAAGAGAGAGGATTATTTGAAGAGGGATTTCATTCCTTTCCTTGGTAGATCCCTCCATTGTTGAGCCAATAATAGCTAGAATCCAAGCATCTCATCAGCACTTCGGGGATAAGGCCTAGATTTTCTCACAGAAAAGAAGCTGAAAAAAGGCATCTCTCACCAACTTCCTTTCTCTCTGTACAAAAAGCCTAACTGGAACATAGCTTCTCTAGGGGATAAGACATCTCAGACTGAACATCTCCTAAGGAATATTCTGACCAGAACTGGGTGCTGTGGAAGTTGGGAACCTTCTAAGTACTTAGTGGTAGAACTTTTCCCAGTTCTGAGGATGGGAGGATAAGGGAGTGTCAGGTTGGATCTTGGAGGCCCTTGTGTGCAAAGAATGAAGCATTTGCTGGGACCTGTAAGTTCTCTCCAATTCCTTGGCACCCTGCATAGCTAACTAGAACAGTTTAATGGTGAGAAGATGGGTAATTGAAAACCATTAAAATAGGAAGAGTGGGTGGAGAGGAACCAATAAATTGTGACTATTTGCCATGCATATACAACATATGGTGTTGTGTAATGTTAGTTTAAGCACTTTACATTCATTTATGCTATGGAGTATGTGGTGAATGATGCAAAGCTGTTGCATCCTTTTATACTGCAATTGTTTTTATTTTTATTATTTAAATTTTCTTATTTTACACATCAATGCCAGTTCCCTCTCCCTCCTGACCTCCTATGCCCCCCCCAGCTGACACATTTAGACAGCCTGGTTTGCTTTTATGTTGGTTTCCCAGCTGTCAGACTGGGGTCCATGAGTTCCCACTTGATCAGGTCAGCTGTTTCTGTGGGTTTTCCCAACATGGTCTTGACCCCTTTGTTCTTCACTCATCCCACTCAGAAACTGGATTCCAGGAGTTCAGCTCAGTGTTTAGCTGTAGATCTCTGCTTCTACTTCCATCAGCTACTGGATAAAGGCTCTAGGATGGCATTATAGGGGAAGGACATTTAAGGTAGCCTCTCCACTGTTGCTTAGATTGTTAGTTGGTTCATCCTCGTAGATCTCTGGGCATTTCCCTAGTGTCAGATTTCTCCATAAACCTATAAAGGCTCCCTCTATTGCGAGTCTCTTTTCTTGCTCTTCTCTATTCATCTTCCCATTCAATCTTCCTGATCCCTCATGTTCTCCTCTCTGTCCTTCTCTTCTTCCCCATCTTTCTCCTCTCTCTCTCCCCTCTCTCCCATGTTCCCTATTTGTTCAGGAGATGTTTGTAGAGAGCTGCGAAGTGCTGCACCTTAAAGATGGCACTGGCTTCGGCTGGCTTCCGCCTTCCACCTTCCCTATGGTGAGTGCTCTCTGCCATAAACAAGTCCTTATTTGGCTAAGCCTGTTCAGCTTGCTTGCTTCCTTATAAGAGCAAGCTATGTGCAAGGTCCACGTGGCTCACTAGGGTTGGTCAGCACAAGGGGATTTAAGCCTGTGTGGGCGTTTCCCCAGGGTCAGAAGAAGAAGCATAATCAAGGATCCTGATTAAATTGCTAGAAGATCTCTCCTGAGTTGCATCTTCCTTGCTGGTCGAGGTTGGGCGGGACAGATGTTGTCCCTTTCACCTCTACTGGAGGACTGTGTATGTTTCCTAGCTTCTCTGAAGGTGTGGATTGTATTCTGGTGAACCTTTGCTCTATGTCTAATACCCATATATGAGAGAGTACACACAATGTTTGTCTTTCTGTGACTGGGTTACCTCACTTAGGATGGTTTCTTCTAGTTCCATCCATTTGCCTGCAAATTTCAAGATTCCATTGTTTTATTGTTTGTTTCTTTGTTTTTTCTCCCTGCTGAGTAGTACTCCATTGTGTAAATGTAGCACATTTTCTGTATCCATTCTTCAGTTCTGGCTATTACAAATAATGTTGCTATGAACACAGTTGAATAGATGTCTGGCACCCACCTGGCTCAGTGTATTAATTGGGGCTGGCGTGGCAGCGGGACAAGACCGGCAGCGGAAAACCTACTCCTTACAGATGTCCTTATGAATGTTCATCCTTTGGGTATATGCCTAAGAGTGGAATTACTGCATCTTGAGGCAGACTAGTTTCCATTTTCCCATTTGTTTACCTCTGCAAAGCTGTGTTACTTTGCCTGCCTAAAACATTGATCTAATAGGAGCAGAATGGCCAGTAGTTAGGCAGGATACAGGATAGGCAGGGCTGGCATGCAGAGAAAATTAATTGGAGGAGAAATCTAGGCTCAAAAGCAGAAGGAGGAACAAGAAAAGAAGGAGAGGAGTATGTCAGGGACCAGCATAGCCAGTCATGGAATAAGGAGGATAGGGCGATACATAGAATAAAGGTAAAAAGCCCAGAGACAAGAGGTAGTTAAAGAGAAATGGGACAATTTGAGTTCTACAAGCTGGCTAGAAACAACCCAAGCTAAGGCTAGGCCTTCATAAGTAAAACTAAGTTTCTGTGTGTTTACTAGGAGCTGAGTGGATGGACCCCAAGTGTAAAAAAATCCTACAAAACAAAAACTACAGCATTTTATTGAGTATTGTGGACTATTGTTATTAGTTATTCTTTGAATTTCTGGTAGAATTCTGCACTGAAACCATCTGGCCCTGGGATTTTTGTTTCATT